AGGCTACTGCGAAGCTGGCAACGGAGTCCTGAGGCTTGTTGAAGCACGTGAGTGTGGGGCCACAACCACACGGAGTTGCCGCGCCCTGACGTCGTAATGACGTCATGCGCATGATAGCGGTATGACGTCACGACTTCGTCACGGCTGTGAGCCCCTCTAGCGCGTTAGGAGGTGGCCGCCCGACGCACCTTGTGCGGCGGCGGGCAGCCGCTGATGAGGAAGCGGTAGCGCTCGACGAACTCCTGGAAGGTGTGCCGGATCGGGTACCCGGCCCGGCGGATCCGGATCGTCTCCATCATGCCTGAGTAGCGCAGCTGGCGGCAGCACAGCTCCCGGTCGAAGATCTGCCGGCGGAGGGGGACGGGGGATGCAAGCGTGGTGGTCGTGTAACACGGCGCTTCAGAGCACCAGACGGGTGCTCCGAAGCGCCTGACTAAAGAAGCACGGCGCTTCTTGGTGAAGGAGGGCGCTCTGATGCATGGTACAGCTAGGACGCGCGCCACGCGGCACTGCAGTGCGAGACGGTGACGCGTGTTGATGCTTCGCCAATGTCCGTGGGCTGCACAGGTGGAGTGGGGAAAGGGCCAATCTAACGCGAAAAACAGCAAGAATAACGCGGCACAGCTGCGCGGCTTGCTCTGGCTGAGGCAAACGTTTCACGCTGACGTAAATCAGTAAGCTGCCATCATCACGTCCGTGGCCAGATTTGGCCCAAATTGGATCCGTTGCGGCGCTCGCGGGCTCCAGCCTGCGAGCGTCCGACCTGCCTAAGCCCACAAAGCTTGCTGTGACAGACATTCGCTTGACGCGGTGAGAAAAGCCGCGGCTCGCGTCGGGAAGTGTGTCGCTCGTGACTAACACTGCCTCGCAGTACCGAGTGACGGCGCGACAGGGAACTAGGGCGGTAGTGGAACGGAGCGCCGGTGCCGGCCCGAGACGAGTCACTTAATGTACAGGTGACAGGCACATTCCCGCGCGTCCTGACGAGCTCATTTTGTGGGCATATAGACAACTGTGTCATCTGAGATGACACAGTTCATGGCGTGACATGACATGAAACGACATGGCATGACATGGCATGACATGACATGAAATGACGCGACATGACGTGACATGACATGACACGCCAGCGCGGTCGGCACGAGCTCTAACTCACCCTCGCCCTCACAGCGCGCGGCAACAGCTGCCAGCGCCCCAGCGCCCTCCGCACGCGAGAGCACGCACTCGGCGAGCACTCTCAAGCCGCCGCGCTGCGACACCGCACGAGCACATGGTCCGACACCAGCCCGAGCACCGAGCACCACCTGGTGATCTGGTCGACCGAACACTCCGTCGGCGCGTCTCCCCCAGTAGGGGGAGGACGCTGTACAGACAGCGCGCGCACAGGTGTGAGGCCACAGTAAGTGGAACAGCGAGGAGGACGGCAGGTGTGTCGTCGCGCCGGCGTGGAATGACTGCGGAGAAAGGTGGCAAAACCGCACCTGTGGTTGACCGCGAAGTGATGTCATACGGTGAAGACGTGAATATCAGCAGCTGCGGCAGGGTGAACCCTCACGATGGTGAGATGATCCAGCAAGTGTTTGTTAGAGGATTCGTCACGTGTTTGTTACACGGTCTGATGTCCCAGAGGTTCTCTACCTTACTTGTTGAAGAACTGTGCGTAAGGCATGCATCATTGAGCCCAGACTAGAAGTCAGGAAGCTCCTTGGAATATATATCTTGCAGATTCCGGATCTGGCGCCTAGGGCCAGATCCGGTAACCGTAGGACCTGATAACCGTTTTTGACTTGGCACGTAATTCCTGCCGAACCACTATCAACTTTCAGCGGCAAACTCTCGCCGTCGAGCGCTTTGACCCAAGTGAAAATGGTAAATATCGGTCGTGGACTGTTGTTTCTAAACACGCCTCCCTATAACGGGAGCGAGACTGACTCACGCATTAAAAGGTCCGAAGCACGATACTAAAAAAAGACTTCGTGCCAGACAAAACTGGGCAGTCAGCAACGCGCGGTATGAACCATACATCGCCTCAGACAGTGCACGTAATTAGTACATTCAGATTATGTTGCGCGATGGTGTAACTACAGCACTGTAATGCGTCCCGTGAAATAGAGCAAGGCTACATAGAACCATGCCCCATACCAGCTGTTTGTCGCGCCAGCTTTACGGGAGGCGGCGGCACAGGGGTTGTCAATGCTCTGCTCCTACGGACCGGACCGGAGTGGACGGTTGATGAGCCGATGCTGGCCCGCCGCCCCGTGTCTCTCACCATGGGCTTCTTGAACTCGTTGGGCTTGACGCAGCGGATGAAGAACGGCTGGCAGCTGGACAGGGTCCTCATCAGCGAGTCCAGCGACTTCTTGAACTGGGTGGACAGCGTCGGCGCCTTCTTCCTCGTCTCTGGAATCGTTAGCGAATACCATTATCAGAAGCGAACCAGATTTGCCGGTCAGTGCTCGAATAGTCTTAATGCGGGCCATCTTCAAAGCAGGAATGAGAGTCGGCATCATAAAGATAATAGTCCTGTTTAAATGACTGCTGGGTGTGCTTACAAAAAGAACAAACCAAACACGCCCATTTGGGCAATGTGAATCAGTTAACATTGGACAGCCAATCAGATAACGAAACGAGAGTCGTTTTTGTACCGCCATGAGTGAAAAACAGATTTCAAGGCAAATAACGCTGACTTGTACAGTCATTATCAAATAGGTGAAGCGCACGGATAATCAGCAGATGGCAGCCCACCTGAGCCCATGTTGAGGTCCTCCTGGAAGAGCGTGTGCATGAACTTGTTGGAGGAGCCGTGCACGATCTGCATCAGGTCGGCGCTGAACGAGTCCCGGTTCTTCTCCAGGAAGCCTGCCAGAGGACGTTCCAATGTCTCAGCCTGAACACACGCCCGGGTGGGAGGCTAGATACCCTCCGCTCGGGTAGGGGGTCAGTTTGACCCCCCTGAGATCTCGGCACCTAAGGAAGCTAGAGACACCAAATTTGCAGGGTGTATTGACCTGTATGTGAACTCACTTAAGTCAAAGTTTGAGATGTCTGGGTTATGACCTTCAGGTCAAATAAGGTCAAACAAGATCACATTTTAGGTTGGTCTCCAAAGTGCCCCTGGAATCTAGATAACTGTTTCTGAGCAAAAGGTCACAAAGCAATTTAATATCAGTGACCTGATTTGACCTTTTGAAGGTCATTGTGACAAAATCATACAAGACTGCTCTGAGTTTTGCAT